CAGCCCCCAGATTCCATCTAGGAATCTCCCAAGGCAAACTGTGAAGTTTGTTTGGAAAATTGTTAGTACTGTTACGACTCAGTATAAGACAACTTGATGTGAAAATATGGGTAAAAGATTTTAATAGACACCTACCAGAGGATAAATGAATTTCAACTAAGTTTATGAAAATACTTTTAACATTAGTCACTAGGGAAATGCACACTAAAACCTTAATGAGATACTAGGGCCACTAGAATGGCTACAATTAAAATAACAATTAAAACAACACTAAGTATTGGCAAGGATGTGAAGCAACTGGAACGCTCGTACATTGCTTCTTTGGAAAATAGGTTGTCAGTTTCTTAGAAAGTTAAATATACATGTACTATAGAACTTAGTAATCCTACTCCTAGGTATTTTTTCCAAGAGAATTTAAAGGCTGCATGCACACTAAAACCTGTACTTAAATGTTCATAGTACCTTTATTCTTGAGAGCCCCAAACTGCAAACAGCCTGAATGTTCATCAGCTGGTAAATGGACAAAACCAAGTAGTGGTACATCCATCCATACAATGGAAAATTTTGAGCCATAAAAAGATGAGTTTTAAAAGCATTGTGCTAAGGAAAAGACACCAGACACAAGTGACTATGTACTGCATGACTCTGTTTATATGAAATTCTAGAAATGTGAAACTATAGCGACAGAAAGCACTATTTGCCTGGGTCAGGAATGAATGGAGGGCACTGACTGTAAAGGGACATGAGAGAACTTTTTGGAATGATGGAAAAGTTCTGTTAAACAAAAACCTTTGAGACCAGAAGTTGTCTGGAAAGGAAGAGTTTATTGAGCTGTAAGCTAGCCAGAGAAAGGACCAGGTCCTGAGGCATGCAATCCAAACCAGCGGCAGGGACAGATAGAGACAAACATGCCAGCTCATCGGAGGTTAAAAGGGCTCTTTTATACAATGAGTTTGAGGAAAAAAGATGTAACTTGTTTTGAAAGAATTTACATTGGCTATAGATAAGGGTGGGGGAGGCGGGGATGTGGGGAGGTGGTAGGTGAACCATTAAAAGTTCTAGGATAGGTGAATAGCCTGTAAGGAAGCAGTACTTGCTGCATCTGGATTGGTTGTGGGCAACAGTCCAGGAAGTTTACGCATAAGTAAAATGCGGTGATGTCTGGTGGTCAGCTATTCTTTCTGGATAATTGCTAACATAGCTGCCTGAAAATCAACTCCGTTTTAATATACATTCAGGACTGTGGACAGTCTTTTTGTTGGTTTCAGGGTGTCTAATTAACTTCCCTTGTCTCTTCCTTCCACTCTCTGGCCTGCTGGAATTTAATTTAGGACATCTCAGGATTTTGTTCTCTTGTCAGTTCTATGTCATGATTTTGGTAGTGGTTTCATGACTGTATACGTTTGTCAAAACTCATCTAATTGTACACTTAAAATGGTGAATTTTATTGTACATAAATTATACCTAAATAAAACAAAATATGTTGCTTTGGGTCTCTCTCATCTTTGTAGTATATTGAGTTTGAATTCTCTGGAATTGCACTAAAAAAACTCTCCAAGAATTTTCAGTTGTATTTGTTTTGGACTGGGTTTCTTCAGGGTCCAGGAGTTTCTCAAAATTTCTGCTAGACTGAGGCCACTCTTTCTAATTTTCTAGAAATAGTAAAGATTACAAAAGCAAACTTAACCAAGATCTTCTGATCTTTTGGGGGAAGGGGGGTGTTGGGATAGGAGACATAAAAGCATAGCATACATTTAGCTTGCAGTCTAATTCCACAGTAAATTCTCAATGTTTTAGGGGATCAAGGCTTTTTCTTGAAAATAGTGCAATTATACAGTAAAAGGAATTTGATAACCTTGAACGGACACACCATTTTAAATAATTCAGTTTTCTATTAGAATGTCAAGCCTTTTGGCCAACTGTAAAGTTTTGCTTTTTATTATACTCCTATTACCACTTAGGCTGCAGGCAATTTTTAACTTTGGGTTCTGAGAGTCTTACAGCTTGCTTATAACTTGACCTTTAAGATGTAAGTAAAGCTAGACTGACAACCCTGTGTATGAGGGAAAGCTGGTGTCCCTTCCCAGTATCTCTGGAAGTACTTAGTGGACTTATTTTTCTTCCATTCACCCAGTTCAGTTTCTCTACTTGAATTATTTCCTCACTACATTTAAATTGTTAATGAAATCCACCCTTTCTTTTGTACCTTATCAACCCTTCTGGACATTACCCTAATCCTTCTACTTCGCTAAATGCCACTGACCCAAGGGAGTGTAAAGCAGATTTAAAGGAAGGTTTGTGATAACAGAGGCGAGCTGAGAAACCATCTTGAAATTTAGAAATTTAGGCAAGTTTCTGAAAGGACTGTGTGCTATTCCTGCTACCAGGAATTTTTCACATTGTCTAATTTAGCTCCCATTGTTTTACTAATTTTTTGGATACTCCTTTTTCTTCCACTTCCTCTTTTTCTTAGCTCAACAGTCCCAAACCCTCATTCCTATTCATTTTTTAATCCAATTCATGAATTGAATGATTCATTCCATTTTTTAACTGGAGTGTTACAACTCATCATTGTTTAATCACATATGGTTTACCTATTTTTGAAAAAATAGACACTTAATTGAAAAACTTAAGATTAGTTTTAAAATTGGAGTTTTGAATATTCTCAAAATTTGCTGTTCTCTCCAGGTTATAAGGTCTTATGGTAATTTTACATTTAATATAATATTGTATAAACTGTCGCTTTGATGTAATGATGTATGTTTCCTATTTTCTGCCGATACAGATATTATTGGTAGTATGATATATGTCAGGGTCCCAACTGGAAACACTCAAATTAAGATAAAGGATATTTTACTAAGGGGCTGACAGGATAGAACCACAAGAATGCAGTAACCAGTTTGTAGTTTTATGCCCTAAGGCATAAAAGTTAAGGGATGGGAACTGTTATCAGTCCCCATAGAGACAGAGGCCATATTAAAAAGAACCTTTGATTGAAGGACACACCAGCCCAACTTCACAGGGAGGGAACCAGGAGGATAAATACCTTGACCTCTTTTTCAGGTTTCCTCTTATCTTCTACTTGAGCTCCTCAT